TTTAATTAGGAGAAACTGCTACTGCACTGGTAACAGAGCACAAGTGAACAGACAAAATTCATGAGTCATTTGTAATGTATGCAGATAATATTAAACACTAGTATAATACGGGTCTTGTATGTAGGCCTAATAACTCTTTTATAGTAGAAATTGTGCACTTTTGAGTTTGTAAAATGTTGGCCTTCACTAATAGGCCTATTACATGCTTCCCATGTGTACATTGGTTTCACAATAAATTGGGATGGAGTGGCTACTGAGATACGAAATGTAACAAACAATTGCGTTTTTTACTCTGTTTTGGTACGGAAATATTACCGCACTGTTAACAGAGCACAAGTGAGCAGACAAAATTCATGAGTCATCCGTAGGCCTAATTGTTGGTTTTAACTACAGACAATTGGTGAAAAGTGGGGGGGGGGGACGGTCTCCCTGTCCCAATGTTCCCCACCAATCGACGCCCATGCCTATTCAGTTGCGAAGTTTGACGCTCCGGACAGAAAGGTAAATTTTTCTACAGAACAAAATTGTTCAAAGCCGGGCACTGAGCTTGTTTCGGCAAATAGAGCTAAAAATTTTCAATTTTTAGTCTCTGTCTAGTTGCTGATTATCTTTTCCGCCAAGAGTTTATTGATCAAGTTTTCGATAGCATGTTCGTTTGCTCCTCCCAACGATTTATATCCCCCAGCATCTGCATTTACCCCAGAAGTACAGTCAGTGGCAGTTGAATAGAACTTGAACAACTTCATTCGTGCACGGAACTTGAATTCACGGTCATAAATTGTCACCTGGGGAAGAAAAAAAGAATATACATATTAAGCACTGCCCAGACTATCGACTATTTTTTGATACAAACATGTGACATGCCCAAATATGGTCACGATGACATCACATCATAACCATAACTTTATTCATTCAAGTTTATTTACCAAAAGTGGAGTGAAACACACTTTACTCTAGTCAAGGTTTTATTAAATTTCAACACAATATAACAGTACGAACAAAATTTCTATTATTCATAATGATGTTAAGCAATTCATAATAGTTTAATAATAATAATAATAATAATAATAATAGTAATAATAATAATAATAATAATAATAATAATCATTATTATTTATTATTATTATTATTATTATTATTATTATTATTATTAGGCCCATTATTATTATATCATTATTATTATTATTACTACTATTAATAATGTAATAATAATGGCATTGTTGCATACAAAGGGAAAAAAGGGGGTGGGCCAGATTTAATCACAATATTGTGACAATAATATTTAGGCCTATGTTAAATTTTTTTGAAATTTGTTTTGATGATAGGCCAAGTTGTTTTACATGTAATGTAAATTATTCAGAGTTTTTTATCTGGTAAAAGTAATTCTAAATTGAACTTCTGCAATACGGGCTTTTGGTATAGCAAGATTCTCACCTTTTTTTAAAACCTGGTATTTCTTAAATGTTCAACTGTGTTAAAAATAATTTAGCTGCTGCGATAAATTTCCATTATATAAATATTAAACAATATTAAGTAAACATAGTTGATAAAGTTGATGAACATCTCAAATATTTAACTTCTTAAATAACGGGGGATACGCAGCTTGCTTATTCTTTACAAATAGGCCTACATAATTATAGAGGCACAACCATGACTATAATTATAGGCGTCACCTTTTTTTGTAAAAGAAAATGTGATAGTTTATGTTAACATGCTAATAAAATATATAAGCTTACGTATTTAAACAAAATTCTACTATGCCTGTTATGCCTTTATTATGGTCTACAAATTGAAATATGTATTACCGTATATAAGTTCATTTAATGATAGGCACATGACAAACCAATGCGGGTATAATTTTTTTTTGGGGTGGGTGGGGGGGGGGGGGGGTGGGGAGGGTTGGGGGGGGGGGGGCGTGTATGTTTGTGAGTAAATCATACCTTTCCATGTTTATTTTCCTTTCTTTTCTGACTTCTTATCTGGTTACGACCTTCTTTCTGCCAATCTCGGCGGGGCTCTGTCGTAGTTGGCCCAACCGACGTAGGTTGCGGATGTGCAGCCGGTTCAGGTGTTTGTAGTTCGACTACGTGTTCAACCTATGAAGCATAACATATATAAATTTAAATATTGAACATACCCTGATCCGTCCAGTAATTATAAACACAGAACTGCCACAACATTAACTTGGAAAAATAATGGACTTCGGTGTAAAATGTCCAATAATAACACTAAGCAGTCGCTAATCCAGGAATTCGAAATAGAGGGGGCCTAGAGAGGGATTTTTCACAGTTAGGGTCTAGACCACCCCAGCATGGTTAATGTTGAGGTAAGAAAAGGTATGATTATGGCACCCCAGACGGTCGGAAATTGCAATCTCAGACTTAAATATATATATAATTTTCTCTTTCCCACCAATTTTTTTTTTTCTTTTATATATATAATTTTGAAAAATATATGGGGACCCTGGCCGGCTGGACTCCATTGAATTCGTCACTGATAATGACGATGACGATAAAAATGACAATAATGATGCTACAATTCTTAAAACCCCTAACCTTATAAAATTTGTTTTGCCCAGTTTGCCTTGAATTTCTATTGTATCTGTAAGTCGACGTCCCTCTTTCGTTAAGTGACTTCAGGATCTCATCTGCTGTTGGCCTCTGTGTTGGCTCATACTCCCAACAGCTTAGCAACAGCCCGCTGATATCACATCCATCATCAATTTCTAGATTACCCTTATAATTAATCACATGCTGGATTATATCTTTCAACTTCCATTTATCATAAGGTATCCTCCGGTGGTACAATTCCCACAAGACTATTCCTAAAGAATATATATCGGATTTGAAGTGATCAACGTTGTCATTTTCACCCAGGACTTCAGGTGACATCCAAAGAATTGTACCTCCATGTGTCGTGCCGGTGATGTCATTTGTTATTTTCGAGATTCCAAAATCGGTGAGCTTAATTACATCTCCAAAAACTAAATAAGTTTTTGATTTGATGTCACGATGTGAAATATTCTGCTGGTGGATGTACCCAACAGCACACGCTGCTTGTTTACACCAAGAGAGAAAATGCGGTAGAAATTCGATTGCTGTATGCAAGAATTCATACAAGTTCCCGTGCGGTGAATATTCTAGCACTAACTGCGTCGGCACTACCCCGTCACTCTCGATCGTGCCGAGCAGTCGGACGACGTGATCATGCTGTAGCAGTTTCAAGATATCCAGTTCCCCTTGCTGTACATGTTTAATATTCTTCACCGCTACAACATCTCCATTTCTTCTCACCTTCCCCTGACACACAATGGGTTTGTTACTAATTCCACAGTGTTGTCCGATCTCTACATCTGTAGGTTGGAATATTTGAAATTGGATTTGAAAGGCAGCCATGTCGCCTGCAAAGCTTATTAATGCACAGCATTTCAGTATATCTTTATGCACGATTTAACAGGAAATTCCAAATACAATAATAGAAACCGTAACAATAGATATCAGTGAATCATATGCAACGGTTGACTTATAACTGGTGGTTCACGCTGGAGCGTTTGCGTAACAAATGTGATATGAACATGCCGGTATATAGGGGCCTAGGCACAAAAAATAAAAAAAATAAAAAATAAAAAATAAATGATAGTGCGGACAGATCAAAGACAAATACCCAATCCAGGAATACGAAATAGAGGGAAAGGGATGGGGGTCGTGGCAGGGAGGGACTTTTCACAGATGGAAGGGCTGAACCACCTCAGCTTGGTTGGGGCTGAGGTAAGAATATTTATGGCATGGCACCTGTAGATGGTCGGATATGGCACACTCAGACTTAAATTTGAATAATTTTCTTTTATCCTTCATTTTTTAGAAATAATTTTGAAAATATTTAGGGGAGGGGCGTGGGCCAGGGGGCGGGGTCGTGTTAATATTAGGAAGCCCCGATAGTAATTAGCCTATTATTTTTGAAAAAAAATATTGAAAAAAAACTTAAATGCTCCCTGCAATTTCTATGGGCCCTGATAATTAAGCTTGGGCCCCTTGGATCATTCCCCTACCCCCCTCGGTGGCCCTGCCCCAACTCCTCGTCTTGTCAGACAGGCCTGTCATTTCGCGGGGGCATGCCCTCGAACCTCCTACTACAGTGTTGTCTCAATCGGCCCAACTTTCGGTCCCCCTCCCCTTCCGGCCCCACCTTTTGGACATTTCTTGATCCGCCCCTGTAGGGCCTATAATTACGAATGGTGGTGCGGCAGAAAAGATATCCAGAGAACGTGGCTCATAACCAAGAATGCTGTGAATATTTACATAACAGCAGAATAGCAGATGCAATTAGTGGTGGTGTTCTGTTGGAAATCGGCCGATTGAGTTCTTGAAAACTTAGATGAAAGGTGCAAATTGTCGGAAAAGAAAAGGAGGAGTTGGACCAGGCCTATACAAATAATTATATAGGCCTAAGAGGAAAGTTGGAAATATACTGTCTGTCCATGGATCGGAGCTCTATAGTCATTTGTCCAAGTAAAGAGAAATATCCTCATTTTGATATTGTACTAAGAAGAATGGTATTCCACTCTGTCTGCAGCTCAAATCATACCAACAACCACAGTCCCAGGATTGATTGGATTATTGACTTGCTAAAAAAAATCTTATGATATTATTGAGGGGCGCTTATTCAAATTAGAAGAGGGCGCTTATTCAAACTTTTCGAGAGGGGCGTTTATTCAAACGGGGCGCTTATTCGCGCGAGTACTGTACTTGCTCTGTTTGCCAGAAACACGCCGCCCTCTTTAGTACAATGAATGATCGATTACTAGAAAAAGGGAGTTATTACTTAATTATTCAAAATTTAAAAAAAACAAAAACAAAAAAAAACACTTGTATTTAATGGCAATCGTTATCATTGTATATTCTAAAAGCTGGTTATAAATAACAATACTATATTAAAATTACTGTAAAATAATGTTAAATTATGCTTTAAAGTTTATTATAAAATTAAGGTCTTGTTCATGGAATATTCCATTCTAATTCGCGAACATTCTAATCATGATTGCATAATCTTGAGTCCTGAGTCCGTGACGTACAGAGTTGTTTTGGTTTGTATGCTACTGATTGCTAAGAAGCAGAAAGTGAGTTTTTTTTTCTTGCTGGAATGATAATCGGTAAAACCTGGTAAAACTAGCTTCTCCCTGATATATATTATTAGGGTGTTAATGAACTTTCGCATCTAAGCTAGCAGCATGTTTGGATTTTGTTTTATATACGATTAATGACAACATGCATGGTAGGGGCTAGTGGTGGAGTGAGTAAGTAGGGATGCCTGTGTGCAAACTGCTGGACAAGTTCAGACTTGTTTTTGGGAACCTTGGAAGTTTCAAGCAGTTTATAGAGTTACTGTAGTTGTGTCATAATTATGAGTATAATAAAATAAAATTTCAAAATATATGTAATCTTAAGCCTATTATAAAGGTTAAACATGTTGGCCATGTTTGTTGACTAGGTTGGGGTTTATGATAGGTATGTGGGGTTGAAAGTGTGAGACTATCATGGTATGTCTGATCTTGGGTTGTTCATTTTTACTTACAATTGTGGGGTCCAGAGAGAGAGTTTATTTTACTTATGACATTTTAGGGTCTTTTCAAACAACATCAACAATTGATATAGCACAAAGAGAGGAGGGGTGGAGAAGAGGGAGCATACTCTTGAAGACAGGAGAGGGGAAGTTGACAAGCGCCTGTGTCTGTGTAAGTGGTTTACCCATGGAGATGACAAGGGGAGGATCTTAGTAACCATGGGAGAGGGAGGCCCTCTACAGAAATATTTCCCCACCCACCCCCACCCCCCCCAAAAAAAAAGAATGCAGAAGAGAACATTGTATTATTGCCAGGCCTACTTCAATTTTTTCCACTGTTCTTGTCCATGATACCATAAAAATCACCACCCCATCCTCTGAATGGCCCCTATCCAGATTTTCTTTGCATCATCTTCCCCTTGTGGCAAAAGATCACCACCCAACAGCAGCCAATAAAAATCTCTAACCAGAAAGTATCACTAGACCCTCCGAAAGAATGTCCACTCTAACCGCAGACCTGCCAAATCTCCCCATCCTGTCAGGTGTCACCCGATATCTAAACAAATCTCCAGTTCTCCCAATCGAATGTAATTTTCACCCGATTTCACTGATTTTACAGGTTCCCTCCACAAAATACTCCGATTTATGCATAATGATTAATTAGATCGTTATTATTCAATGTATTCGCCGCAATGAGACAAGCAGTAATTTAATAAAGTTGTTTTGCAGTAATTTTGTACAATTAATTTTATACTACTATGATTTGTCTTGACGTGTCTTTTTAGTAAATTGCATCATCTTTTGGTTATTTCTGGAAACCTCCAGATTTTTTGGTAAATCTCCAGATTTTTTTAAGATTTAAAAAAAAATCTCTAGATTTTCATGGCCCAGGAGTTGGCAGGTCTGTAACCCTCACCTACAGATTCTCAATTGGAGTTTCACACCTACTGTATAGCTGGCAGGAATTGTGGATTAACCCCTGACAGACAGTAACGGCTTGTAAATTTCTAACCAGCAGACCCTGCAGTGGTTCAGGAATATCTGGTTGGATATTTCTTTGTTCCACTACAGTATGGTTGACTGATTACTGTCCCTGCCATGAAATTATACAGTGGCATGTAGGGGGTGCACAGAAGCTTGCTCCCCTAAGTCTCCCTCACCCCCATTGAAAATGTCTGAAGCAAAAGAAATTCATGCTCAAGTATGCCGGTGATTCTTATACCCTGGCACAACTACTGTATCCACCCCTGTACAACCTCAGTAGCAAATTTAATGTGCACAAATGAAATTAGAACATTTGTGACTTGCAAAAACCAGCTGTTTGTAGGAAAAATTCAAATATCTTTTTTTTTTTTTTTTAGATTCTGCATCAATTATTCTTTAAAACAGTGTTTATTTGATGGAAATTGGTTAGGTATTAGGGTCATTCCATGCCTTCCTTTACTAAATACATGTATCACAGCCAATATACATGTTCGCCAAAACCCATTTTAACACATCGTCAACAATAATACCCTACTTACTATATGAATTAATTTATTGAATATCAGCCACTTGTAGGTTTTGAGAAAACTGCTTCTAATAGTTTATTATTAAGGTGTGTATTGTAAAAAAAAATTTAATATACTTTTCAGTTAGATTATTGATTAATATATTTGCACAAAATGTTCTTCAATATAGCTTATTTTATGAAATGCCATTGCAAAAACCCGAAAATGTTTAAAATTCTGATTCTCAAACATTTTGGGCTCGTATTTTTGCCAGAGCTGGTCATATTTATGTTGGCATTCTACCATTATTGTTGTTGGAATTGTGAAGAGTTGTTTTTGTTTTCAGATCACTTTTGGGTGTGATTAATATAATATACAGTATTATAATTATTGAGCATGATGTCATGATGATTGCTTACACTATAGGCCTAGTATTATATATGCTGACACTTTCACCAGTGTTATGTCAGGTATGCATGATCAATATTATAATCTTAATCATTTTACAGTGTTTCTTTTGCTGAAGTTGCATGTAAAAATTGTGGAAATTATAATCATCCCTTCATCACTTTTAGGCCAAAAAAAAATAAATTTTTGTGTTGTCCACATTTTGGGAAAATCCAAAAAATGGGTAGGAAAACTATTTTTTTTTAAAACCAAATAAGTGTTTACATTTGAAAAGTATAAAATACACAAAATAATACAACAATTTTGGATTCACATTGCATACCATGCACCAAAATATTGTAGACTAGGGCTTGGTCTCTTAGCTTAGTCCAAGGCTACTTCAGCCTTATCTCATGAACAAAAAATATTGTTATTCCTTGTAGTAAAAAAAAACAAAAAACTAAAATGTGACTTTGAATTTTGTAAAATTTAGGTCGGTTGGGCGTGGCGTGACCAACACAATAATTTTTTTTAATTTGGCCTTATCAATATTATGTATTAACAATGTTTTGTGTATTACCATGTTCTCTAACTTAATCCCCTTTAGCTGCAATCACACTGGACTAATGAAAAAATTAAGAATTTAATGAGACTTGGGTAACATTCCAATGGGTAAATCTTACCACTGTCCACACTGTGATCCCAGCTAACGATATTACGTTATAAGAACGTTATAATAACGTCAATTTGTTGACGTTATTTTGTAGGATACATACTTATAACCTAATTTCACAATGTCACAACGTTCTTAAGACGTGTGAAGGTTATTTTATGAAATAACCTACAGTACCATAACTAAAATAAGAACATTTTGTGTTTGCTGGGATTGTGGCCTTAGTTACATCACTGTATTTATTATCATTATATATTATGTTAAATGTAATGGTGTAATATTTTATCATTGTTAATATATTTAACACTATTACTGTATCATAAACAATATTGCAATCATTCTTTTAGTCTTTAAACGCTGATCAGACATGTACCGGTCCTAATGAGTATATTGACAAGAAGACGGGAAATTGCACCATGTGCCCTACGACCTGCCCACCTGGTTATGGGTACTTTGAGGTATGATGTCTCAGTCAGTTGTGAATGAACAGTTCTGAACAGACCATCAATTTGTTTTAAATGAACAAATACACATAGTGTAGGCCCCTACAGTATGTACAGTACAATACATGAATGTAACGGAAATAAAACATAAATATCTGTACATGATGTTACTGCAGGCACAGTCATCATGATGTACAGTACTGTGTAGAGTACATGTAAACGTACTGCAAACAGACACTGCATGTACTTATATGTGAAAAATGCACATTGTACACGTACAGTAAAAGAGACACAGTAAAGTACATGTTAAATGAACAAATACATATAGGCCCCTACAGTATGTACAATACATGAATGTAATGGAAATAAAACATTATGTACATGATGTTAGGCACTGTCATCATGATGTACAGTACTTGTGAACATACTGTATAGTATGCAATCAGACACTGCATGTACTTGTACAGTATGTGGAGTTATGTACAGTAAACATGTGGGTACTAATTTCATGATGTAGAGTGCCAATTGAAATAGTAATGATTATACAGTGCGTAATACAATAAAGTTGCCGTTATGCGCTTTACATGAAGAAGTAAAAATAATAATTACATGCTACAAGGACAACTAACAAAGAAAACAACAAAAAATCAGAAGGTTCAAATGATTTCACAGCTTTTTGGTGCTGGCACAGGGGAAGGAGAGCACCCAGGGGCGGATTTAGGGGGGGCCCCCCTTTTGGGAGGTAAAAAAAAGAAAAAAAGAAAGAAAAAGAAAAAAATGATAGCCCACAACGCCTCAAATGTTATTTTCGGGAGTCTAGAACACAAAAATTTCGCGGGGTCATTGTTGTCTCGATCGGCCCCCCCTTTCGGCCCCCCCTTTTGGACATCTCTGGATCCGCCCCTGGCACCCCATTCACCACCGCCAGATGTGACATTGACAGTACCGTAAATCCTAAATTGAGCGTTGCGGCGCCTATAACATTTTTTTGGAGGCTTCAGTGCTGCGCTTATACGACAGCGGCTCTTATTAAAAATCTATTGGTGTGCCGCTTTCCATGTCCATTCCAACCTATCTCAGGTATTGCCATAATTCAATAGGCCTGTCATAGGTCCTACAGTACATCATCATAATGTTTGTGAAGAAAATTTTGTTTCTTTATTGTGTTATTCATTTTCACACTGTATACATTGTATTTAGAACCCCGTTTCTCAAAGTGTTTTATTACACACAGGGTAATATATGCTCTGAATTAAGCGCAGCAGTACTTACTCGAGAGCGGTGCTTTGCGAAAAAAAATAATGTTTTATGGTGCGGCGCTTATTTCGAGAGCGGCACTTATTCAAGGATTTACAGTACTGTACATGTAAAACAGCAGTGTATGTATTTGGTACAGTACACAGTACAACAGTAAAAAAAATATAATTGTTGAGCCAAGTAAAAATTGGCAAATTTTCTTGAGCACTTAAAACTACAGTATTTGCACGATGACCTGATTTTCACAAGATGCTTGCCTATTCATTTGTTTAGTATCCATGTGGTTATGGAACGATGAAAACAGACAGGTGCTACCCATGTGAAGATGGAGAAACGTACAGTGCTGCAGATGATAGCAACCGATGTTACCCCTGTAACCCCTGTCATAATCACGAAAAAATTAAAAATTGCACAGTAACTGCCAATGCTGAATGCCCGGCATGTGTACATGGGTAAGTCTAATTCCCAAAATTGAGAGGGATGAGAACTACCAGTGGCGGGTTCAAAGGTGGGGGACAGCTGGCTCAAGGGCCCCCTCCCCCTACATTTTTTAAAATTATAAAAAAAAAATGAGAAAGAAAGAAAATATTCTAGTTTACGCCAGAGGAGACCATTACTAGGGAGCTTTCGACTTGCACGACAAAGCGACGCTAGAACGGATTTACTCAGGCGTGACTGTCAGGTGTGTGAATGTAGGACCGGGGGGGGGGTGGGGGATCCTACATTCTCTGCATACTTAGATTTGCCCAATTATGTCCTAGATTCCACACGACCGCAAGAACTCAACATTCTCACATGCGCTGGTGACTCTATGTGGTGTCATATTACATTCTACTGTACGTATTAATTTCCTACCGTTGTGCAATCGAGAGCTCCCTATTGACTATCTAGAGGTGCGATAATTAGAAATGTTCTTATTTTAGCTTTACCATCTGTGAAAGTTCCTCCCTGAGCCCACACTGTACCAAATTGACTATAATAATGCAGTAGGCCTACAATGTTACCTCACAAAATGAATTTGCTTTGGAATATACAGGTATGATGTAATTTTCTATCTTTAAAAAGGTATGGTTGGGACCAATTCAGGGCAGTCTGTAAGGACTGCGAGCATGCAAGAAGGGAACTCCCAGGATGTGAAAGTAAGCTACTTCAACTCAATATTTTCCTGTGTATGAAACAAATGTTATATAATCAGTTTTTGAACAAGGTTCATAATTTTACATCAATTTAATACACTCATGTATGATATGACCCTTTCTGACATGTGCTCATTTTCAGATTGCTATAATTTTACATCAACTTATACTCTCATGTATGATATGACCCTTTCTGACATGTGCCAATTTTCAGATTGCTATAATTTTACATTAACTTATACTCTCATGTATGATATGACCCTTTCTGACATGTGCCCATTTTCAGATTGCTATAATTTTACATTAACTTTAATACACTCATGTATGATATGGCCCTTTCTAACATGTGCCCATTTTCAGATTGCTATAAATCTGTGATCTTTAGAATATGCTTACATCTGGCTAATAGCTTTATACTGAAGTGTATCCTACAGTATATCCTGAACAAGATTTAATAGCTGAATAAAATTCTGAGCTTTATATAATTTTTGAAAATAAAGTAATATATCCTCTTAAAAACCTCCCAATCATTGCAGCAATTTGTAAGTGAATAAAAAGGTGTGACACATATATCGGGGTTCTTCATTTACCTTTCGATCTTTAATTGAATCAGCAGAATCTGAAATGGCCAGTTTAATTTAATAATAATAATAATGGTAGACTTTATATAGCGCATATTGTTAAGCCCTCTATGCACTTTACATTATCATTACCGGTCATTAAATTAAACACCTATGGAACTCAAGTTTATTTGGGGAGTATTCCATAATGTTACAGCAGCTTCATCAGTGCATTTCAGCATTTAACCCTACGTACCCACTTATACTCCTGGATGGATAGAAGCAGTGCAGATAAAGTGCCTTGCCCAAGGACACTAAGTGAAATGCACAGCAAGGGATTGAAACCCTGACCTTGAGACCAAAGCGTTCCTGCTGCGCCAAACCACATTGACATGGAATGGCTCATGTATACTACTAATATTATTATTTTATTTTTTATGTAGAATATTTGTTTAAAACATTCTATCCATTAATAAAATCTATTCTGTTTTATTTATAGAACCTCCAGAAGTGATGGTAACTGAACACCGTGTACATAGAGCAGTCTGTAAAAATGTTCCCGAGCAGTCGCTTCCCGACCAGTATTCCTGGTTCCTGGATGATGAAATTCTTGACACATCCGATGAAAACAAGTTTGTATTAAAAGGAAATAAGTTGCTTATATTAGACCCAGACGTAGAGGACTATGGTGTTTATACGTGCAGAGCAGAATGGAATGCCAATGAAGACCGCAACTTTGATATTATGAAAATGAGTTCCAACAAAGTAGAGACTTTCCCTACAGAAGAGCGTAAGCAAATGTTTATTAATTATACTAAATTTCCAGAAGAGCAAAACAAAATTACTGAGTCAACCAAACAAAAATTACGGATTAAATTTATTATAAAGCCAGGTACTCGCTGCATCGTACGATGGTCGTACGACAAATCCAACTCCTAGAAAATTTTCAAAACGGGGTCCAAACTAAGGGACCAACTAAAGCCTTGGTTATGGTCCCTTTAATTAAAATACCTGGCCGGGTTTATGGAGAGAGTTTTTATGGCTTAGTTTGGCTAAAAATTGTGCTTTTAAAACAAAATATTGGGGATTGGCAGTCAAAATAACATTATTTTGATATGCAAATGAATATTTCTGGTCCGAGGGTCTTGTGGTGTAGAACGCTGGAGGGGCCAGGCCTGTTTGACATTGTAATAAAAAATAAAAAATAAAATTCACCCCCTACTGGCGCCACCACCGGTACTTGGAAACACTTTATTAATTATTAATTAATTATTTAATAATTCCATGAATCATTTTCCTTTCAGATGGAGAGATCATCAGTGAAGATACAGTAACAGAACACATGCTTTCCACTAAAAAAGAATGTAATTGTATATCCAAATACCATGCTTTTATTTTTTTTTTAAATTGTTGTGTATTTACTCTTTACAAAAACACTTTAAAACATAAACAAAATAAATAACAATGAAGAGAGTGATAATTAAATTACTATATGTGTGAATTAATAAGTAAGAATTAACTTTATGAAGCCTGTGTGGTCTAATGGTTATAATGCTCGCCTTGACAGCGAGAGGTCGCAGGTTCAAATCCATTCGGAGGATCCAGGATTTGAAAGAGGGTGTTCAGAGAGTTCCCAAAAAATGAAAGGGGGTGGGGTCCTCCCCTGGGAAAATGTTGATTCCTAGATGGCCGGAAATGAGCTTTCCCAACTTCTGAGGTGTCTTTTAATGACCTTTCAAGTTCTTCAGAATTCAAGGTTGCCCCTCTCTTGAAAAAGGTCAGGTAATTTTATCTCATTCTTAGGCCTATACACAGAGAAATAAAAAAGGCATAGGCAATATGTTATTATATTCCAACAATATTGAGTACAGTAGTTGCATACGTAGTCTTTCCACCATGGATCGATGGGCCTGAAAACATACTTTTGTACATAAATTATTACGACTCGTCGAACCAAAAACAGTGTACAGTGTTTGTTGAATTTATTTGAAGGCTAGTTGGGCTAAGCCTAGTTTGTCTGATCTGCCAACCTCCTAGGTAGGTTAGCATGCCTTTTGTAAGCCAGGACCCATTAGTATTTTGTTTGGTGATACTACACTACTTCTTAAAAGTTGTGTTAAATATATGTAATTAATGCAATAAATAATATATCATTAGTCATTGACCATTATACTTTCAGGTATAGATGACAATGATGGAGATGCAGCAAAAACTGTTATTAATTGTCATCCTTGTTTACATCACTGGATTTCATGGATAATCATTAGTATAATCTGCTTGCTTCTTCCAAATGCATGGTTTTATAACAAGGTCAATTGCAAAAGTAAATACACTACAGGAAGTCCATCACAAATCTGTAAGTTTTGTTTTACAGTACAGTATGCATTCTGAAATATATTTATAATCTTACAAGATGCAAAGTTAGATATAGCATACTGCATGTATTTGGTTACTGTATACAGTATTTGTAAAAATTCTTACTTTTATCTGTTATTTTCTGTAATGTTATCCTGCTATGTTCTACATTAAGTTCATTACCAACATTATTTATTTTCTTTCTTCAGTGGTATACCAGACACAAACTCCCTTGCCCACACAGTAAGTGAATTCATTTATTAATTTGTACTGTATTTTTCTTCTTTTCTAGTCAGCCTCCTATCAACAAAATCAACATATCCTTTTGTATTAGAATTAATAAGTGAAGTATTTCATGATTTTTTTTTTTTATTAAACTGTTATGTTTTTTTTTTATATATTCAAATTTGAAGCTCATTTGTTGTCAGAAGGCAAATTATATGTACATTTTCAAACTTGAAATGTAGGAAAAAGTACATTAAAACATATAGCACTTATTTTTTATATATAAAAAAATAGAATGAGTACTATTAAAATTGAGAAAGAATTGTACATAAATACACATAAAACAGACAATTAGCACTGGAAATTTATGACAATCATGGTTCCATAATTTATAATAATTTTTTTTTTTTTTTTTAGTTTTTACATTGGTCAGCATTTAAATGAATGATCCTACAGTTAATTTTAGACATTTCATTCTTCTATTGGCTTTAAAGCCAGGTTTTGGGGCAAATTCTTTTTTTTTTTTATATGTTGTAGTTGTACAACTGATTTTTCTATGACACAAAAAGCATATTTGATGAAAAACTTGTTAACAGCAATGAGATACATATTTTTTCATATTTAAAAACTGGGGGGAAAAAGGGATGTAACCACCCTTTTTCCCCAGTTTTTAAATATGAAAAAATCTGTATCCCATTATTTCTGTTCCAGAATTTTTCATGTCTTTTTGTGTCTTAAAAAAATTAGTAGTATATTAACATTTTTTCCCCTTCGCAGCCTGACTTCGATTGAGATATTAATTTCTAAAGTAATTTTCTGAATAATCTTTGTATTCTCTCTTACAGACATATACCTACTCATGTACCTCTCCTGAGACCTGAACCCCAAAATTTGTCCCTTCATGAGGATGTGGAATCGGCAAAAACACTTGGTCATATTCAAGAATTAAAAACTAGCAATCAAATGGATTATACTGATGATCATGTAATGGTTACCCAGGTTACAGAAGAAAAGGTATTATTACTAATCCTTATTGATAACTACCACAGAGGTTTATTATGTATTGATTGCTGTTTGACTGTTTTTTTGATATTGGGATTTGTTCATGAAAATTTAGTGGAGCCTATGGAGAGCGATATCGCTCAGTAATTGGCGATCGATCAATCAAATAATACAATATAAAATGAAAAGTCACTGCACGGACCTGAGTGTCAAATAAGCGACCTATGTTTCCCTCACCCTTTCGATAATTTGAATTTAAATCCTATAGTATTTCATGAATATATAACCTCTGTATACGAAAATTTACACAGCGTTAATATTTGTTAGTATTTATTTTAATTTACTATGGTAGTTAAGTAGGATATTAAACGCATAAAAAAGACAACACAAGACATTAGAACAGTTACTGTAGATAAACATATTAAATATAGAGGGTGGGTAGAGAATGAATTGGCAACAAATAGAAAAGAGTAGAGAAGTATGTAAATGATAAACACTCCGTTGCATTTGTTCATTTGATAGACCTATCCTTTTGGGTATTTTTACCGTAGAAAGTTATTTTATTTTACTTTAGCATATTGATGTATAGTCCTAATATCATAATGATTTTAATAGTGAATAATTATAGTACACTTCATAAATAAGAACAACGACAATGCTGGACCAAAAGTGGGTTAGTTGATTTTTTTAGGAAACCAGACACAGTGAATATTATGTACACTTGATATGGCCATAGAGGCTACAAGGTCAACCTTTGCTATCACACACAAGCGCCTTAATAGGACGATTAATGACCACTGGTGCAAATTCTTATTCCCATCTTGGCCACCACTGAGCTTGTAAGTTGTCAAATGGTAGATTCAAAAATCCTTTCCGGCAAAATTTGCATTTTATTATTTTATTTCATTTATCCAATACCCAACAGCACACAAAGTTGCCACTAATAGAATAGGAACAGTTGACAAATAATTGCTTCAATAAAATATTTCAATTGCAATTAAATTTGTTGGCGTGGCACGTCCAAATAGCGACTAGTGAGGACATGTATTAGAAATTTTGACTATTTTAGTCTAAGGCCTATGCCCTGATTTAATGTTCATTAGGCTAACCTAAGAAATACATTAAACTAGAAATTGCAAATTGCAAGTGAAGTGCTGCGAAGTACAACTGCATAAAATGTTCTTCGAACAAAATTATTTATGCGAGTCAAGTGAAAATAATGAATAATAAAAATATAACAAATAATATGAGCACGACCCATTGTCTATATTTGAACAGCGTTGGTGCTGTGTACAATAGTGTTTTGCGAGTAGTGCCAAAGTGCGAGCCAGCGAGTCATGCGAGCCAATGTGCGAGTCGTGCGAGCCATGCGAGTCTGCGAGCCATGCGAGCCATACACTTAATATTTTTTTTTCAGGTTATCTAGTTTTGCAAACACGTAGGCCTAGCTTATTCTTCGGGGAGCTTTGCCTGTGTAGTCCAGTCATGCGCAGTACATATACTTTTGGACTTGGTTACTTTTTCGAATCGTCGATCCGAAAGTATGCAGTGCTGATA